CCTGGATTTTTTCCTGCACCTCAGGCATTGGAGCTAAGGAGGGAGTGCTCAGTAAATCACTCAAACCAGCATTTGGATTGTGAGGGATCAATTTATACTGTCCACCTTCTCGTTTCAAATCCAAACCAAATATATCTGAGAGTAGATCACTCTCATCTGATAAAGTTCTCAGATCTGTCAAGTCTTCTGTAGGCAATGCAGCTTCTGTTGGCTTCCTCTCCCCCTCTTCTCCTTCCCCACGCACCTCATCCTGAGTGGGATCTGGCATGTTAGCTAATAATTCCGCCACCTTGATTTTCTTTGCTCCTTCTACTAGGCTTCCTCCAAGCAGCAAACTGCATATGATGCGAAAGAAGCCCCGGACAACACTACAAGCAAAATGTAGTAACCCCCTCAAAATGCTCCAATAGGAAGAAAACAAAGCCATGACCATGTCCTTCATCGTCATTTTCTTCACTTTTTTCATCTGTTTCTTTAGGCTCTTCATGCTGAGCATTTTCATAACAGTCATTAAATTATACTTGAGAGCTACTAATGCTGACTTCATGGTCATGAGAGAGAAGAAACCCATTCTAGGATCCTGTTCCTCAGGCTTATCTTTCTCATTCTCCTCTTTATTTGCTGACCTTTCATTCAGATCTGACTCAGAGATCTGGGCAGCCAGTTGCATTTCAAAGATGGTATCCTCGCAGAAATTAACAAAAAGCTCCATCTTTTCTTTCTCCCCACCTTCATTTACAACATCAAATATAAATTGTCTCTTTGACTCTTTTACCTGAGGTTTCTCCCACTGAGTACGACTTGACTCACTTATTTCAAAATAAACTCGTTCAATGCGCTTCGCACTGCCCATGATTTCTATGCGTCCAAGGAAAGGCTGAAAGTAATTCAGCACACTCTCTGACAGTTCAAGAAAAGTTTGCAAGCGGGTATCATGGGGCATGTGTTCTGACAGGTTGGTCAAGAGAACAGCGACATTGAAACCAATGTCTTTGGCAGGTTCATGGAATCGTTTCACAAACTCCTCATAGTCCAGAGTTTCATTCTCATCTGTTTCAGCGCATGATAGCAGAAACTCAGTTTCAGACTGGGTGTAATGCTTATGGCTTTCCATTGCCTTGTGAAAATCCCTCTTTGAAATTATCCCTTTACCATCTGGGTCATATTCTTTGAATGCATCTGAGGAAGTTAAATCCTTCAATTTTAAGAACATATCAAAAAACTTCAGAATCATCTCCACATTGTTGGACGATTCCACAAGCATATCGACCATCTGCTTCCCAATAGTTCCATTCACAACATTGCCTAGATGTGATGACATGAAGTTAGAGATACTGATGGCAGCAAATGTTTTGGCAAAGAAAAGTGTGTGTGAAATAATCAAACAGTAAGAACGATCAACTGTTGACTAACACACTCACATAGAAAGCTAGCTGTAAAATCAGAAATTCGTTACTAATAACACTACCCTAAGACTTGGAAAAAACATATGTGACTAAGTATTTGCCGTTAAAGAAAGGGAGAACTAACAAGCTCTACAGAGACGTCTGTTACGTTTAATATAGTACTAAACATGAGGTAACATACTATGAATTTTACTATAGTGCAACACAGACAGAACTAGTGTCACATTAGTTAGGATGAGTAGTTCAGTAGGTTACTCATGAAGCAGTCTACAATGCTAAGAATTTACTTTGTTTCACATAGTGACCTTCTATGAGCAAAGCAGTAGCAACTGCAGTCTATGCTGCATTTACTGCCTCTCAGGTCTCTCAAGAAAGTAAGCATGACAGGATACATGTAAGAAGTAAAAAGGAAAACCAGATCTTTGAATCATCTATGTGTATGTCTGCTTAGCTATAACAGACCTTGAACCTAGTCACTACATGAATCAAAGCTTGCTCTTTATGGCTAAAATCACCATCAAAATAAACGCAATATAGTAAAGGTGTTAGTAATTGACTGATAAATGGTCCAGTTCCTAGAACTCTGGTTTCCAACTTCAATAGAAAAAAAATTTCACCTAAACCAAAAGACAAGCCAAGTTCATGGAAACAAAGTAAAACTTCGGCCAGAGCTGGATTTTATACAATTCTGACATTCAGAATTAATATAAACTGTATCAACTACACTATATAAATCTCCCATTCACTTTAAGACCTAACAACTCTTCTCACAATTAAGACATGAAAATAAAAACCCAGATGAAAATGGAGTATTATTTCTCACATAAAGAAAATCACAAAGGTAAAAACTTTGCTAGAACAACTGTGAAGGAGGATTTAAAATTAAATTTTTACTACCTTCCAGCATAGACAGCAACATGACAACCATATCCTTCTGAAGATCCATTAATTCCTTTAGTAATTCAATTTGACTGGAATCCTAAATAATGAACACAATTTATATAATAAGATATCTATTGACTTCTTTGACATTTATATATGTGCATGCATATTTCACACTGTAAAAATGAGACTTAGAAATTAAGATGCTAGCAGTGTCAAAGCTGGTTGATTCCTTTACAGTACATTTACAGGATGAAACATTTACATGATCATCTGCTTAAAAGACAGTAATTTAATAAAGACAAAGTGAAAACTGAAGGTGATGAAAAAATTTAGAGCAATAACTGGGAATGTCAAGCTCACAGATGATATCTCTGTAATTCTTCATGTCAGCTAAAATGTTATCGCTGTTGATATAATCAAGTTTACAGTTATGAAGACTTGTAAAAACAACAATGGCAGCAGCAAACAGAGCTCAAAGTGAGCCACTGAATTTTTTGAGGAGAAAGAATAGTTGAAATAAAATTTCAAAATATCTATTGCTAAAGTCCCATTACTATATCCTTAAATAGACATGATATTGATTCTTTTAGCCATCTTTTATCTCATTCAGCTTATCAAGTTTACTATTTTGTTTGCCAATGATTTCAACTTGGAGTCTATATGGATAGATTTATTCACCTACTTAATTTCTTCCTCAGTGATACATTGTTGAAACATGCCACTGATAAGACATACTTGAGCATTGCTGGACTTCAGTGATTAGTACAACAAACTCAAGGTAGTTTATAGCAATTTGGATCTTGGATTGAAAGCAGCACAAGTTGGAAATAATTAAGATTTCTAATTGATTTGTCTTGTAAGTTTTTGTTATAAATCTTATTTCAAAAGTTGCTTACAACCTGGATTATCTTTGTTCATTTAGATTGAAAATTTTACTTTTATTTTCTGCCTTACAGAGATTTCTTAAAAAGTATTACCAATATCACCTTGTTGTTTCCTAATACAAGACTAGAGAAGGAAAATTAAAAAAACCTAAACCAAAAACAAATCCCACCCAAACAAAAGAGTGATTTAGTTTTGTTCCTATTTAAATCTTGTTTCAAATATTCTCCAAAAGTGCTCTGGAAACTCCCAATTTAAAACAAATCCCAAATACTTAGCCTAGGCAGGCCCCTCTTACAAACAAAAGCCGTATGTCAACTCCTTATAAATCCATTTAGCCACACTTTACACCTTTGAAAACTGGTATTTCAATAGAATCTGAAAAGCTTATTAATATATTCCTGCAATAAACATAAATGAACAAAAGAGCTCACATCTGTTCTGGTCTTTCCCAAGGCTCTGCTGGCCTCCTAAAGATGCTCCCAAAAGCCAAGAGCTTGAGCTCCACACAAGAGAGACACCATCACTATTTATCATACATTTCAAGTAGACTGTGTTTCTGTCATCCCACTCCACACACTACAATGGATCCATTGTGCAAAGATTTTTGGCACACTCTGAAGTGGCAGGATGAGTATCATTAGTTTCTAGATACAGTAATTAAAAGATGCTATGAAGCCACTCTAGGCACAGCTGAAACTATAAACTTGTCATTATTGTAAAAACAAATCTTGCCAATAGCCACATCATATTTCTCAATCAACACGTAGCTACCATGCATTTGACTCGCTGTCAGTAACTACTTAGATACCGCTTTCCATGCTGCTTTAGTGCTACAGCAAGAAAGGACAATAGCCACCACCATGGCCTACCCAAACATCGACTATTTTTTCAATTCTTAAAATAACAAACATGTTGCAAAACCAGGACAGTATCTACAGGCACTTATAAATACACTTCAGTAAAAATTCAGTGCATTGCTCTCAGAAAAACAGGTTTCACTGTGATGCCATTTGCTGGAAGAAGACCTCTATTTAGCCATAAAGAATGAGAAGAACACCTGTAGCACAAAGTCTACAAAGGTAAGCAAACAGCCTACTTTCAGCCATAAAGTCCCAAGGGCAAGGAGGAAAATAATTTGAGCAAGACTACTTTAATTTACGCAAAGAATATTTACATGTATATATTTGGAGCCAAATAACGAAATCTAAAATTGTCATAGCCTTCAGAGCTGTACTCCTTAACAACAACTGAAACATTTACAAGCTTATGACACTTTTCTCTAAGAATGTCAAATTCTGTAAAAAATTTAGAATAACTACATTCAATTAAGATGTGTAATTCTTTAAAAAGGTAAGAAGTTGAAAAATGCACTGCTTTAGGAGGTTAAAACTAGGTGAGAAGAATCCTTAAGAGCTGTCATGCCAGTCCCTTACACTATTTCTATAGTTTATGAAGCGAGTACTCGCATCCAAAAGCAAGTCACCCATTCTAAAGTCCGATTGCTCTCTTTCTCCACTAAGAGTAGAAACAGCTTAGATGCAGACATGTGTTGAGCTAGGGTTCGATAACTAGGGTTCAATGCAGGACCCATCAATGAAGACAGGTCCTGGATAAAAGGCTCATGCAAAATCACAGAAAACACTGTCACAGAACTTTGGTATGAAAGACAGGAATTGGCTAGTTCTTTCTGAATATTGGTGATATGCTTCATTTGCAGCTTGATCTAATCAGCTTTGTGCCTGTGGCCAGTAGTCCAAATATAGGCCTGCTATTCATACCCACTACCATTTTGTAATTTACTCCCTCAACTCTATTGTATTCTATCACCTTTGTCTCTTACTTTTCCTCATATTCCCCCATTAACTGTTGTTATGACTCAAACATATTAACAAGTCTGTTAATCTTTTACAAAAAAAGTTAGTAACTTAAAAAGGAAAAAGTAAAACAAAAAAATACCTGAGACAGCTTCATCTGCATGTGGGCAAACACATGAAGAAAACCAACTACAGCATCCCATAGCCTACTGTGTGCCAAACTTTGCTGATTCCCAGTACATGGACCCTATTTTTCAGGCAACAACAACAACAAAAGAAAAAAAAAAAAAAAGCAGAGTTTAATTTGCAAGAAACGCAACAAAACCAGGAAGGATGATATACAGGCAGTGCATACCTCAGGGCTGTACTTCAGAAACTGCTATGAAAATTTGAACATATATAGAATTATCTATTTAATAACACCACTGACTGTAAGCAATGCCTATTCCTAATAACCATTCTGCCTTTGTTTTAGCCAAGTCCCAATTTACTAATTCAGAATCACAAAAAATATATCTGCTTGCAACTTTTAATTGCAAATGCTAAAAAGGTACAAATCTTCAAGCTGATACTTCCCTATGTAGTTCTATACATCAGGAATAACTTTATAGAACATTAATGCAAAAATGGCATAAGGGATTAGCGAATAAGACTCCTGATTTTTTTTTTTCCCCCAGCATATTCTAGCTGTTGTAGAACACAATGCTAAAGAGTATTCCTCCAAAAATTCCAACTTCTGAAAAGCAGGAATACAAAATCTTTTGAAGCCTCAAAGGATAACAAAATCTTTACAAGCCAACAATGCTACTTGTGATTTGCCAAATATGTATACATTAAATACATGTACGCACATGTATATAAGCTGCCGCTACTCCTATTTATTCAGTCCTATTCTATCACATTTCATTCTCATGAAATATAAAATGCTATTTTGGTAATAATGATCTTCACTTGAATGAAAACAATATAATAGACACCTAACAGTCTAATGAGATTCTCTCTAACCTGCTTACTATATGCATAAATGAACTGTAATATTGTTGACTGATTTACATGAGGAATTAGCTAAGAACTAAATTGCACTGAATTCCTAACATATCATGGAAGAACTGCTATATTGTTATTTTGACAGAATTGATCCCAATCTCATTTATTATTTTGAGTCTACCTCAAGCACATCTCTACAATTTTCAAATGTAATGTGTGACTATAGCATTTCAAACACAGCATTGTTGCCTTAAAACAGACTTATTCCTGACAGAAAATACAATCTAATGTTCTATTGACTAAATAGCAACTATGCTTTGCACTGACCTTAGTTTCTCAATGGATTAAAAGGGAAGACTGTAAAGTGGACAACAAATGCTGCAATCTAGGCCAAATTAGAAATAAAACAAAAGAAAAAAGTCTACTATCTTGCATACAACCAAAGGATGATTATTTACTAATCACTGTAAGTTTGACTAAATTTCTAGGATTTCAAAAGAGTAGTGACAGCTATATATACATTTCAAAATTTCAATTCCTACTTAAATAAATGCACTAAAACAATGCTGAAGCATAAATGCATCTATATTATATTTCTATCTGTGTTATATCTAGCTACATTAAATCTTCATACCAAAAGTATGATTAATTTTCTTTCAATTCCATGGATTTCTAATTAAACTAATTTACCTGGATATACTCTGTAAGAGTATTGAAAACTTGTTTTGCAACCTGGATGGCTTTGGAAAAATTTCGTTGTCCTTGTTCATCAATAACATCCTTCCCAGAATAATACCAATAGAAATCACTAATCGATTCCTAAAAAACAGTTGTGAGAAGCACAAAGAGGTTAAGAAAAATAACATTAGATAGCATTCTACTTCTGAAAAGTATTTAGTTTATAAAGGTTTTAAATGATCCCCCAATGACTCAAATATTACTTCAAGAATTGTAGTTTCATTGCAAAGGAATTAATAGGAAAACAAATAAACAGAACTAAATAATTAAAAAAACACACAGCCAACCTCAAAAAAAAAATTAGGTCTGTTGGTATTTGCTCTTAGAAATACTACTGCCTGCATTCTGAAAAGGAGAACTCGGTAGTACTACAATGCTGCATACACATCATTAAACAATCCCTCTTTATACTGTGTGCTTGACACCTAGTCAATAGCGGGAGCAAATGTTGCTTTGTATGCATAATTCCTCTTTCCGTCTTCCCCAAAGGTGAGCTTATTAAAGTTTCAACAAAGCAAGCACTGGAATGAAAACCATTGTATTGTCCCTACAACTTCTACAGAATGCAAAAGGATAAAAAGCAACATTAATAACAGCAGCAACTTAAAATCCACCAATTTTCAAAGCCTGGAATTCTCAGACACAATAAATAAATGGCTAAAGGGAAAACTTAACCAGATAAATTAAAAAAGCATAATAAAACATATCATCATGCACAGCAGTTTTCAGAAATAATAGGTTTCAACTTGAAAAAATATAATTTCAGAGAATAAATAGGTAATTTTTTTTTTCACCACCAATCTATCTGAAGCACATATGACTTGTGATTGGCAGATAGTTACTTGGTTTTAAAAAAAATTAATTATGAAGTTTAACTTTTGATTCATAAATATGGCAGCATGAGCTTGGCAACATTTTACAAAATGTTTTTTACCTATAAAAAAATAGGTAAAAATTATTAAAATTTATCACAAAAGACATGAAAATGCATGCTCCAATCTGGAAACAAATTAGATTTTTTTTTCATTACTTTCTACTGGTTTGTGACAATACAGTGTCATATTTAAAGATTAGGGAGATAATTCAAATTAGAGTGTTGAAGAGTTTTTAATCTAGGCTTCTGCTTTTGTTTTCCTTTTTGCCATTTTTTTCCTTCCTTAAAAAATTACGTGCCGTTTTTATGCGCCGTCCATGCCAGCCCATGACTATCCATACAGCAGCCCAGTGCTCAGACTAAATCAGAACATGGATGAAAAAGCAGCTGGCTGAAGCTTAACTTGAACAAATCCAAAACACTTTCCAGTTACAGGGTAGTCTCAGACAACAACTGGCTAATGGTATTCTGTATCTACCTTCTGCCTGCTCTCCTTGGATAACAGACTTCATTGCATTCTTGCATACAATGGCTGAAAACAGTCTTTCACACTTTTGTCACCTTTGACTCTCACGGTATGAAATAACAACTCTTAAAGAACTGTAACCAGTAGAGAATTAGAGCCTCTCTCATCAACATGGGTTACAGTGACCAAAATAAATGTCACAACAAATACATGTGCTCCTCTAATAAAATTGCACATTTTGCGATAAAGATGAAATTTGATCTTGCTATAAACAAAACTTCTGTGGTGGCAAACCATGTATTGCTGAAGGGAATTCCACAGAAATTAAGAAATACAGAATCTCCACATACAAATTTTTGCCTTATGATCAAGATAAATTAAATATATTTAAAAAAAAAAAGGTAAATACTGTATAGATGCAAGTCACTATTGCCATCTATTTAATTAGTATAGAAGTCAACCTACCTGAACTCTCAGTAAGTAATCCACAGTGGAAATGATAATATTAACAGTTGTGTTGTTACCAGTCTGAGTTCTCAAGTAATTCTGAAAATCTAAGAAGTCAAATAAAAGTTTAATTTAAATTTATGGAAGTGTTGGAGACTTGCAAAACTACTCCTGTAAAATAATTCCAATTTAACATAATCCTAGGAAAGTATAGCTTAAAGGAACGGAGCTTTTTCTTAAACTCTTTCTTTTTGTTTGTTTGGCAACAAACCATGTTAAGAGTTTCAGAATTTTAGATCACATAACAGTAAAACCAGAAGCTTGATTATCTGTTTCAACTTTAATTTGGTTTTATTTTCATCTCATTTATGACTAATTTTTCATCTCTAGAACTCCATCAATATCAACATAATTACACCTAGTATATATTTTGTTAAGCAAAAGCAAAATTAAATCACATAATTATACAATTCCTGATTACAAAGTCCTAAACATGTCTGATGGCTAAAAAAAAATTATCAATTTTCTTTCTTCTTTTTTTCCCCAACAATGACACAGAGAACACAGGGAAATTTACTTAATAACATGTCTTTGTTTAATTTGCTTTAGTATTTTTAAAATAGATGCTACTTCTTCAAGAAAAGTCTTGTGTATGTTGTTGTAATTTCACATGCAATTCTAACTGAAATTAGTGCCAAATAGCGCACAGCGGAAAGCATACAAATGCACAAAACCAATAAATATACCTTCCCATTATGTATTTTCTCTGAATCTTCACTGAATAGAAGTTATAAACTATGTACATTTTCCTATATAAATTTACCTTTCCGAGTAGGTAAGATCCAAAACTCATCATTTTGGAAACTGTTATTTTTTTCTACAAAGTTAAAGCTGATTAAAAAAGCTGCCAGTTTAAGTCCATATAAATATTTTCCTTTCATGTGCAGCCTAGCAGCTACTCCACCTTTCATAATATTTTATGAAGGCTGCCAAACCTTCAGCAATGAAGAGCTTTTATCTTTAGTTACCATCACCTTGGCTTAGCTGACTGGCAGCCTGCCCACAAACCTGAATTATGTCCTTCACAAAGCAATTGAAGGAAGCGGAAGAGGTCACAGGTGAACTCATCATCCTGCATCACCTTTTCTCCTGTAGAAAGGCCAGATGGAAGCAGATTATCACAGGCTGCCAAGTAACACCCCACAGCCCCTGAAGAAAATCTCCATATTTAATCTTAAGAGAGAGAGAAGGGGAGAGAAAATTTATAACCACCAATCTATCTGAAGCACATATGACTTGTGCTTGGCAGATAGTAACTTTGTTTGAAAAAAAAAAAATTATGAAACTTAACTTTTGATTTATAAATATGGCAGCAATGAGCTTGGCAACATTTTACAAATAACCCATGATTTACATTCTTGTTTGACTTTGCTGGGCATGAATGCTGCATTACATACAAAGGTTACGATTGGATTAATTTGGTTCCCATTCATCACAAAACAAGGTTCTTGAAAATACAGGAAGAGATATAATCAAACAGTAACGGAAATCATTCCTCAAATAAACTATTAGATTTTAAAATACTCTGAAATAACCCATGAAATTTACAGCTGCGTGGATTCTCAAGAATTATTTAGGCTGAAATATTTGAGGATTTAGTACCTGTCTGCTGCTGACACAAAATGGATGTTGGGCATTTCTCTCCCTTGACAAAACAAAGCAATAAATTTATGAGGAACTAGAACAAACGCCAATGTGCTTTACTGAATTATGCCTTTCAGTTCAGTTCATTTTTTGGTAAATAGCTAATATGCAAACATATAAAGGTTCAAATTATTTTTTTGATTCTTCACAGGAAACAGTATACTAAGAAGCCCTTAATTAACACACCATTATTTCAATTACATCAATACATACAGTTAACTTTGTACACTGACATGTGAATGGGAGAAACAACCATTCACCCTGGAAAACAATCATGACTGCGGAATATGCAGAACAGCTAATAAAATTACACAGAAAGACAATAGCGTAGGTGTTCAGAACAATAAAGGCCACCTATTGAAAGTATGGAAATTTCCATTTAGGACTTTGGAAAAGTACTTGGAATGTGTTATGGCAACAAAAATGGAAGCCATAAAAACTTCTACTTTTTAAGAATATACATAATTTGAGTATGTGGCCAAGTGCTATTTGTAAACAACAAAAGGAAAGGAGATAAAAATGTAAGCTAACTGCAAAAGAATTTGAAAGATTATTTTTTTTAACGGGGACATATTTTAGGCTTTTATCTGAACTTCAAAATGCCATGTCTACGAAGACGATGTTTTTAGTGCGTGAACAAAAGGAAACCAGATGAGTAAATGAATTAAAATTTAAAAGAATTTTTTTTTCAAAAAATTTATAGACAATAATAACTACCTTAACAATTACTGACATGCTGTTATATTGATGGATAACTAATTATAATTTCTACATTTATAAATTATTAAATTATTATTATTAAATTATTACAGCTGAATTGTAAACAGTAATTAGTACAATTTGGAATATACATAAACACAAACACGCTCAGAATTTTAACTTCACAAAGTCATGAATGATTACAAGTTCAAGCTAATGGATTTATCAATCCACAGCCTGTGAATTTTGAAGTGAGAAGCTTCAGTACAATGGTAGGATTAGGAAGCAAAAGCATTTTGAAAACTAATGTGGATGTTTTAAAAGTACAGAATTTCACTCTT